ATCTGGAAAATGCCTTGCACCCAGTTTTGATCGTGTTATGCGGTGAGATTCTTTGAAACATATGTAGGATTTTGGGAAAAAAGAGAGAACCGCCCCAGGACTCGAAGCCGCGTCCTGATATATCGCATCCAATCAGCTTTTGTAATCATCCACAGAAACCTCTTGCTCTTCCCAATTTCCATAGTGATACTACTGTTGATATGGGATCAATTTGATGCCAAGTTCCATTATTGATAGGGAGTCAATTTGACTTCCAGTCACAACTAGCGAGAAAGAGTTAATTTAACAAGTCTCATTATTGATAGGTAGTCAATTTGACAACAGGTCACAATTATTGGTACGAAATCAAATTGACATTAATCACTAGTGATATTAAAACAGCGATTACCATTTAAAGATTAAATAAATGAGTCGTTCATTTTGAAAGTGGCCTGAGTTCGTTTATTTTAAAATCCAGATATTTAAGTATTTTATGTTTTAATAAAAAAAATATTGGTAACTAGATAGCATGGTAGTGCAATGTTTTTATATTTCTAAGAGTTATTACGATCTAAGGGCTTTGCTGAAATGAAATTGCCCCCGCAATTAGAGGAGATATTTAGGTGGACCACCCTGTATACATAATGACCCATTTAAATCGATCCAGTCAAATATCTTCGAAACTGTCGAGGATACTAAAAAATGTTCCAAACGAAATTTGAATCGTTTTAGGGGGCACGTAATCTGATGTTAACGAGATTTTTCTATATGAGCGCGTGGAGGGCATATGGTCAACTTTATTTTTTCAAATGTCTCGTAACCCGGAAATGGCAGCTACCTTAGGTCATTTAAAATAACTTTTTCCTTGGCGAAAATGCAATCCGTGGTTTTGTTTACGTGTTATTAACGAAATACAGTGACCAATGAGACGCGAGCGCGCGAACCGCAAAGTAGCCGAGCGAGCGAGCGGCCGCGGTTTCGATAGTGGGGCGCGACGGCTTCGGTCCACGTTCGAAGCAATGAACAAGTCACGAAGCGTTAAGTTTTCGAACTTTTTTTCTACATAACAATGATAATTTTAAGAAGAACGCGGTTCATCCTAATCCAAAATGTTTGAAGAATATTTACTAATTTTTTGGATCCGAAATAATAAGTAGTTTAACCCTTTGCACTCGACGCTATTTTAACTGTAAATATATGATTATTTTTCTAATTTACAATGTTTTTATTTTACATAGCAAAATGCATTTTACGCATATGAAGTTGACTCTTGGAAGTCACACAACAATTACACTCTTAACAACTTTTTAAATCTAAACTTTGTTGATATAAAAATTATCTTAGAACGTGATGTAACAAATTTTAATGGCGCCTCAGAGTCATCACTCGAGTGCAAAGGGTTAACCATTTCAATATTCTGGTGTGCATGACACCTTATGGGCACCATAAAAAATTTTTATGCGATATGTACAGTGAAGATTAACAATAAGTAACCCCGTTGAAGTACGTAAATGATATTTTAATTTAAATAATTCCGTTCCCGAACAGAATTCACAGAAATCTAATTTAATAATAAATAATCGTGTTAAAGAACATGCAGGATATGTTTGTTTAAGATTTGTAAAGAACATCATTAACAGTAACAAAAGTGTCCTTGAGGATAGATGAGTAATTTTTAACAATATTTTAATGATAATTTATAGTAACTATAATTTATGAATAGTAATTTAGTATAATTATAATTTTTCAATAATAACTTATAATGATTATAATTTAAGAAAAAATGTTGTATGTTAAATATTGTTTCGCTACCGATTGTAAAATACTTTTACGAAAGTAATCACTCAAATTAAAAAGAATATATGTGCAACATACTAGACTGCCAAAAATCTCCATCCATGTATTCGTCTTAATTACAACCTTTCTATTTTCAACGATGGTGGACATTTGGGAAGTGGTAAAAATTTATTACAAAACGATACAAAGAAGTTGGCCGGATTTTTGCACTTTCATTGTGATCACTTTGTGTAGAGACAGAGCTGAGAGTGTATAGGGGTCAACTGTACAGTCATAAAGACATTCGATGCTTTTATGACACGTGCGGCGGAAATTCTATTCGACAAGTGGGGCATCGCGTTATGAGGTGATGCAATGAGGGTCGCCACTCTACTAATCTGGAATCTCGCACTCGAACCTGGCAACCAGGTTTATAATGCAGCATGGGATCGATAGTAACATAAATTCAATATTAGGAAATCAAGATAACTAATTAACTATATTGTAATAATGCATGAGAAAAACAAAGGGTTTTGATACATACAAAATTGAAGAATAAAAAATACAAAATGAAAGATTATATCTTCTTCTCATTTTGAAACATTAGCAATTATGGCAACTATGTAAATCGCTTCGCATCTTCGTATTCTTTCATATCTCTCATGAGAGGGGTTCGAAGTGGCTGCCCGAATGATTGTGCGAGTTGGGATGCGTTTACGTATTTCTGACGTTAATCAGTTGTTCGAATGAAATCGGCTTCTGTTGTGTAACAGAGTCGAACGCATGAAAATCCAAGAAGCTAATAAACTATTATATCCGTGAATACATTTTTTACGTATATGTACTCCAACGTAGTCCTTCCGACAAATCAACAATATCCATGACGTCTTTATTGTTTTTTTTCATTTTTGTATATGGCATTCTAAAAGTTTAATTATAATATTAAATTATAGCAATTGTAAATTTATTGGTTACTTAATATTTATGGCTACTTGTTTAAATTATAAGATGAGGAAAGTTAGGTGTAAAAAGCTCTAAAACTGTAATTACGACGCAGGGATCTATTTATTACAAACTGCACGACTACAGGAAAATAAGTTACGCAAGGAGAGTGGGGTAGGTGATGCATGCGCCGGGAGTCCCGCACAACGGCATCACGTGTTTACCGGGTGAACATTATAATTCTGAACTACGACCAGACAGAGGTTTTACGTCGCATTAAAATCATAACAATCATAATAATGAACATAATGTTCACGCGATAGATGTGTCACGCCGCTGTGCAGCGCTACCGCGCGTGCGTCGTCCGTCCCCACTCCTTGCCCAATATTATTCCCATGGATACGTTGCTTAGGAGTGGCTTTATTTATTGTTTTGTTCCTCGGAGTTGGATATATTTTTTATTGTAACAGTTTACTTATATGGCATCTTTTATAATGTACCCGATGATTTCCGTTGCAGTTGTAGCGGCACACGGTCGGCGACCGTAATAACCATAAAACTGTCCGCTTGCATATGTCAAGGGTTCGACGGAGAGAAAACGTCCTTGACGTTTGCAAGAACCGGAAATTCCTTTGTCTCTTTATTTTTTATCACTGCCAGATGTACTGCATGCCTGGTCGCGGAGAAAGCCGCCGGCCGCGTACCGCTACCTGGCCGAACGGCCAGCGCGCCCCTACAGCGAGGGTTCATCGATGGCTGTCTCCCCCGCCAAACTAAGCGGGGGTAAAAGAAGACAGCGAGTCCCCCAAAACAGGCGTGGCCTTTTTGGGGGACGTAATATAAATAAGAGACCCCAGTCAGTCAAGGAGCCAGTCGGTACTTTTCAGTTTAGTTTTTCTGCGCCCACACAGTTTACACATTTTGAACATGTCTGTCTAATTTAGTATTTTAGTATCGTATTTATTTTTATTGTATTTTAGTATTATCTATTTTAGTATTATCTATTTTAGTATTGTTTATTTTACTTTGTTGGAGACAATTTGCTGTCAAGTGCCTTTGTTCATATTTACGCAAGCGGGATTACGGTTACAATAGTTTCTTGTGTGTCGAAAGGCTTGGCAGCGGGTGCATTGTGATACGTGTTATCTATTTTTGGTCTATATCAGGGCTCGGAATTAACCAGCACGCAACACGAGGATCGCGAGAGCTACGCCTCCTGAGCAGTGTATGCAATTTAATCACACACGATTACGCAAGTGCAGGGCGTCTACCGGGTGAACATTGTAATTCTGAACTACGATGGCAACGCGACGCAGAACATTTTACAATGTTCACCCAGTAGATGCTCTGCACATGCGTAGTCATGCGTGATTAAATTGCATGCTCCTGATTATCGTCGCGTCTCGTTCCCCGGTGATCGCTTAACTCGCACACATACACTCGCGATCCTCGTGTTGCATCCTAGTTAATTCCGAGCCCTGGTCTAGGCGATTCTACTTTTATTAGCATATTGAATAATTTTGTAATTTTGTAAATATCTTCGTTATCTTTTTCCGGTTCAAAATCAATAAAACAATGATGGTAACAATTGTTTAGTGTCGTATTTGACTACGACGACTATTATTTAATGTTCTTATTTTGAGATTTAGTTTACTTAATGCTTCAATTATTTCAGTTGTGTTTATTTCCGGATGTAACCAACCACTTTGCATCTTTTTTCGTTTTTTTTTTGTTGATACGAACGATATCTTCGTTATCTTTTTCCGGTTCAAAATCAATAAAAAAATGATGGTAACAATTGTTTAGTGTCGTATTTGACTACGACGACTATTATTTAATGTTCTTATTTAGAGATTTAGTTTACTTAATGCTTCAATTATTTCAGTTGTGTTTATTTCCGGATGTAACGAACCACTTTGTATTTTCTTCGTTTTTTTTATTTGTTGATACGAACGATATCCCGTATTTTTGCTGTAAATGCATTAATTACATTTCAATATACATCAGATGTGATAGTTTATATTTTAATTTGGTTATTTGTGAGTTATTTTATCGTGTAATTGGAACTCTTAGATGTTTGGTCTAATAATGTAAGTAACGGTTCTATAATTTGTGTTACTACGTATAGTAAATTCTCTCCAATTTTCCCTCAGCTTGTAAACAAAAATGGGCAATTTGGGAAGGGGAGGTCGAATTATTCGAAACCCGCGGCTCGTTTTTGTAATCGTCGGTTATCAAAAACAATAAAAACGAACTGCGAGGTTCGAATAATCGTATCTTCCCTTCCCAAATTGTCCATATTGTTTACAAGCTGAGGAACAATTGAAGAGAATTTACTATATATTACAGGCGGTTTGATGATACCGTTTGATTTGTTATCAGTAGCTTATGTTCCTTTTAATTCAGAGAGTCTTTCGTAGGCGTTACAAAGTGGTATATCCTGTAGCCATTTGTTGCAGTGTGGTTTACAGATATCACTATTTTCATCATTTTATTCATTCATTTTTTTTGTTTTCAGATTTACGAAGTTTTATAGGTTTTACTGCATTCCAGTCTTAATTATTTAAATGATCAGAGCATGTTTCTATTCAGTCTATCGTATCGGTTGAACAGGGATTAATCACTTTCCTTTGATTATCTTCTGCAGTTCTGTTAGCTGGTTTCCATTACATGTTGACTTGTCTTGACGTTCAACGATTCTTGCATGGTATAATCATCATTGGTATTCTTGATTTTTAACGGTGCGATGTTGTTTGACGACATAGTGATTTGCAGGCGCTGTTCCCTGCGAGATATCTGCGAGTTCCCGCGAGGCCAAGCTATTTATCTTATTATCGGACTGAGATGCGAAGAGCAATTGTAACACACCAACGACACACTCGGTAACAAGAGCAGGTTGTACACAGTGCGCCAAATAAATTTCGAGACTCGGACCATAACTCAGCAACTAATAGTGCTATTTATGTTTTTAGATCGGCGTTTGAAAGCTGTGACATTCCTCTCTCCGGTAGTATCAATTTTGGTTCAACTGGTTGATAAATAGCAATGTTATAACAGTTCTCTCCAAACAACTTTCTTGTCGATGTTGAAATATGAGCAAAAATCGTAGCGTGTTAATCATTCCAAAGAAGTCGTTGAAGCCGTTAGATATGTTCCTAACTTCCTGAAATCAATTGTTACGGGTGACGAAACATGGTGCTTTCAGTACGACCCAGAAATCAAGCGTCAAAGTGCGGAATGGAAGTCGAAAGAGTCACCACAAGCCAAAAAAACACGGAAAGTTCCATCAAAAATCAAGACAATGCTCATTAGATTCTTCGATAGCATAGAAATTATCCACAGGGAATTTATTCCAACTGGCCAAACAATAACTGGCGCATATTATCTTGAAGTTTTGAAGCGTTTGATGACCAGAATCCGACGTATTCAGATCCAGAGACCTGGTGTCTGTTGCACGATGATGCACCGAGTCACACCTCGCTCATTGTTCGTCAATTTTTGGCTCGAAATCAAGTCCGCGTGTTGAGAATCATCCACCGTATTCGCCTGATTTGGCCCCATGTGACTTCTCCCTATTCCCAAAATTGAAATTGAAGTTGAAAGGATGTTTTTTTTCATGACATTTCGACCATCAAAATAGCTACGACACGAGCGCTAGAGGCAATTCCACAAAATAAGCTAGCACACGCATTTGAATCACTGTAACAAGTGTATTGAAACTGGAGAAGAATATTTTGAATAAAAAAATCGAAAAATATTCACATATCTTGTTTCAATGATATTTTCCTCGGCCAGTCTCGGAACTTATTTGTCGCACTGTGTAAACACGTCCGCACTGTGCGATGCAATGATTGAGACTGATTAAGAGAGTAGAGAAAAGCAGATCCAGGGGATAATCAGAGAAAAGAATAAATTATTATATTATGTGAAGTTGGCGGACTTAGAATAATGTAAGATTATGTTCGCTTGTTTAGTGACAGAGCATTGACCAAGTGTTTCATAAGTCAATGATTCACCACTGTTTTTCCAGTGGATATGTCATAAGTGTAGTCTCCAATAATTATGAGGTTTGCGTTCGTATTAATTTACCATCTCTCCTAGTGATAGGACATGCGATTGGTAGAGTTCGGAGGTGCAGTGACTCCCGTTAATATTCGGACACCTTTTAAAACGCAATAACTCTTTCAAAATTGAACCAAACGACTGGACTAGAGGACTTGAATTTTTTTTAGATGATAAAAAGACCAGTCTACTATAACATAACTAGAATGCTTTATTAAATGTAGCTGTTGCTTAGAATAATAAACGAAAATAAAAATAAAAATGCGTTTGTAGATCTCGGTAAGTTGTATGCATGCTGAAAATTTCATCGAAATCGGTTGATCTTGGTATGAGCTGTAATCAATTAAAGATCGCAAAAATCGCAGTCTTGTCCTGATTTTTTACATACTCGACCAATAAGTGTGAGAAATCTACAGTTTTCAAAATCTTTCGACGCTTGTAACTTTGCTTTGTAACTTGACCGATTTCGATGAAATTTTATCGAGATCTAGAAGACGCATTTTTTAAATTTTTGTTATAAATTCAGATAAAGAAAGTTAACAAACGAGAGTTTTATTTTGTATTGTCATTGCAAGTAATAGCTAAATTGTAAAAACGTCATTGTCTAGTATACTAGTCCCTCTGTCATCTAAAAAAATTCAAATCGTTTAGTCCAATTTTAAAAAGTTATTGCGTTTTAAAAAGTGTTCGAATATTAGTGGGGGTCATAATGGCAGTCGACAATAATGAAATGAAATTTTATACGAACTTCGACGAATATTTGTTTCGAATTCAAGTAGGAAGCATTGATAAAACGATTGGGAAAAGAGCTACTTACAGAAATGAAAACACCACCTCCTTTTCAAAAACCAGTTCTCACTTCATTCTTATCGAATCGATCTGTCGTCGTTTGACACGCCGTTCTTGTACGAGATTAATACGTTTTTATTACAATACTAAAAATCATGTATGATGTATCTACAATGAGACTTCAAAACCTGTCCTATCTTTTTTTGACATATTATCGTTCGACTGCTGATCTTTGTGCATTTATAATATATGCAAGTTTTTAAAATGCACGAAAACCTGCACACGGAAGTAAATTATATTCACCATAAAGAATTTTTTAGTAGATATACGAAATTTTTCATCTCTTCGGATATTTAAAAAATAATACTTGCAAATGAGAATTTGCATAAACATCCGAAGTCTAATTGTCATCTCTCATACCTTGTAACTAGTTTTATTATCATCCTAAAATTACTGTACTAGAATATTATTGAATGTATATGCAGCGTACTTGCGTACACTATCATAATTGCACACAATTGCATCAAGAAAATATTTAACAGTTTGCATACGAAAATCACGTATACATGATTTGAGGGTTGAAATGTTTATTTGTAGAACAAAGAGAGACAGAAGAAATTAAATTTCGTTGACCATGGTAGTTATAATCCTTTTCATCTGGAAAATGCCTTGCACCCAGTTTTGATCGTGTTATGCGGTGAGATTCTTTGAAACATATGTAGGATTTTGGGAAAAAAGAGAGAACCGCCCCAGGACTCGAAGCCGCGTCCTGATATATCGCATCCAATCAGCTTTTGTAATCATCCACAGAAACCTCTTGCTCTTCCCAATTTCCATAGTGATACTACTGTTGATATGGGATCAATTTGATGTCAAGTTCCATTATTGATAGGGAGTCAATTTGACTTCCAGTCACAACTAGCGAGAAAGAGTTAATTTAACAAGTCTCATTATTGATAGGTATTTTGACAACAGGTCACAATTATTGGTACGAAATCAAATTGACATTAATCACTAGTGATATTAAAACAGCGATTACCATTTAAAGATTAAATAAATGAGTCGTTCATTTTGAAAGTGGCCTGAGTTCGTTTATTTTAAAATCCAGATATTTAAGTATTTTATGTTTTAATAAAAAAAATATTGGTAACTAGATAGCATGGTAGTGCAATGTTTTTATATTTCTAAGAGTTATTACGATCTAAGGGCTTTGCTGAAATGAAATTGCCCCCGCAATTAGAGGAGATATTTAGGTGGACCACCCTGTATACATAATGACCCATTTAAATCGATCCAGTCAAATATCTTCGAAACTGTCGAGGATACTAAAAAATGTTCCAAACGAAATTTGAATCGTTTTAGGGGGCA